AAGCAAAAGCAAGAAGACTGGATTCAGACTTTACTTCCTCAAAGCTGGAGGGAGTTCGGATGCATCATTCCAGTTAACATCTACGTCTACTTTATTATGCTTCCACAAAAATCCAAAAAGCCTGCTCCTCATAATCTAGAAAAGCATGAGAGTGTTCACAATAATCACAGGGAATCCCCATATTTGCCATATTGATGGGTAGCTCTCACACTGCCCTGCAGAGTTCAGAGGGGAAGTCAATCAATGGGTGTTTAACTCTGGCTGGCATCCTCTGCACTCAATCCTGCAGTCTGGCTGCTCCTGCCTCCTGCCAGCACCAACTCCAGAGCTTTTTTTCTGCAGGGCTGGCAGCTGCCTCCATGCCTCTCTGCTCCAGCCAGAGCTGCACAGAGACATCTCTCAAGTACTGGCAAGAGAGCTCAAAGAGATTCCAGCAGGCAGAGGAGATCCCCTGCCAGGCTAAAGAAGCCAAGGAGTGAGGGAAAAGGAATCACTGGACTATTTAATCCTTTATTTTCATGTCTGTATAAAGGACAGCAGGAAGTGTATGACCCCAAAGGAAAGAATTTTCTATCAAAAAGTGGTGCCATTCTTTCTGTAAGCCTTTCTGTGCTCTCAGAAAGAAGAAAGTTTTGCTTCTTGGAGGGATCAAAAGAAGTCTGCCAGGGGTGACAAAAGAAAGGGAGAAGTTAACCTCCTGACAATGGCAATAAATTAAGCCAGTATGAAGGAAGATTATACTGCAAAGTTCTTCTAGGACTGAGAAGAAAATTATCTTTGGTTCAGCAAAAGAGGAAATGCAACACCAGAGGATTAAGAAGAGAAGGAACACAGGAAAAATGAGAAACCAGAGAGATGCCCCTTTGCAGCAACACTTTGAATAAATAAAGCTGCAGGGGTCACTGTGAGAGACAGGACATGACTTTGGGTCATACAGTCAGAAAGAACTGTTAGGCCTAGGAGCTGCTGTGCTACTAGCAGTAAGACCTCAATACAATCAAGTGGGAATAAAAAGAGAGGAAAGACAAAGGAAAACATGAGTCATGGATGGTATTCAAAACTGTATTTGTCAACAAGGGCATCCAGGGACAATGTCCAGAGAGTCAAGAGGAAAAAACACAGATGGAAGCTCAGCAGCAAAAAAAAAGAGTAAGCTGTAAAGGCTCAAGAAGTAAAAGTGAAGAATTGGGAAAGAACAATCCTTTGGAAGGGCAGTGGGGGCTTTTTTAAGTGTTTGCTGGATTTGGGAAAAGGAATGAGAGTTTCAAAAATAGTCAGACAATGAAGTTTCAAAAATAGTCAGACAATGATGAAACACAGGCCTTTATGCCTAAGTTGTTAACTGGAGGTATCAATGTGAGTGGCTTCAGCTGATGAGGAAGGATTAAGCCATACTGAAGGAGATGTAGGATGTAATTAGAGCAGTTTTGAACTGCATGTTTGGAGAAGATAGGGGTGACAGGAATAAAACAGATGAAGTGATAGTTACAAGAAGGGAATCTAATAGGTGTTTTCATGACAGGAATGATCTGTGACTACGTACATTTATTTGAGAGGAAACTTAAGGACTTAGGGAAAAAAGAAGGCAAGATGAAGTAGACACTCATGATAGGAGGGGAGAGGAGGGGATAATGAGAGAAAAAGTAAGAGAAATAACGAAGTCAACATTTGTGTGACAGCAAACTGAGAAGTAAACGTGGAAAAGGTTAATGATAGAAGTAATTGATTCTGTATTTTAACTTTTTTTTTTTCTGAAGAAGCAAATGAGGTAGTTGCAGTAGAGCCTATTTTCTCAAAGAAAGGGAAGCACACAGTGAAATCAAACTGAGGCAAGTCATGTTTTTGGTAGGAGAAAACCTGAATGAAGGTCTTTGACTGGAGAGATGAGGACATAGTGATAGTCAGCTAAAATGTCAGATTAAGTATCACCAGGGAAAAGTATCTCAAGGATGAACATGATCATGCAGAAGTGATAATCATTGACCTATAGGCAGGATCATCTGGATAACCAGAGTAAGCATTACAGCAGTGCAACTGACATCCAAAAACTGATCATAAAGTTTCTCAGATGTGCTGATTTTGGCTGGGATAGAGTTTATTTTCTTTGGAGAGGCGGGTATGGAGCTGTGTTTTCGACTTGTGCTGAACAGAGTCTTGAAAAATATAGGCATATTTTCGTTACTGCTGAGCAGTGCTTAGATAGAACCAAGGCCTTTTCTGCTTTTTGTACTGCTACACTGGTGAAGAGATAAGGGATGCATGGGAAACTGGGAGGAGAAACAGCCAGGACAGGTGACAAAAAATGATCAAAGGGATATTCCATGTATATAACTGCATTCGGTTGTCGGCCGGTCACTAGCGGTGTCCACCAGGGATCAGTGTTGGGCCCAGTCATGTTTCACACCTTTATTGATGATCTGAACGAGGGGACTGAGCCCACCATCAGCAAATTTGCAGATGACAACAAGTTAGGGGAGAATGCCAATCTGCTGGGTAGGAGGGCTCTGCAGAGGGACCTGGACAGGCTGGATAAATGGGCTGAATCCAATGGTATGATGTTTAACAAGACCAAGTGCCAGGTCCTGCACTGTGGCCACAACAACCCCATGCAGCGCTACAGGCTGGGCACAGAGTGGCTGCAGAGCAGCCAGGCAGAAAAGGACCTGAGAGTTCTAATTAACAGGAAGCTGAACACAGCCAGCAGTGTGCCCAGGCGACCAAGAAGGTCAATGGCATCCTGGCCTGTATCAGAAATAGTGTGGCCAGTAGGACCAGGGAAGTGATTCTGCCCGTGTACTCGGCACTAGTTAGGCTGCACTTTGAGTACTGTGTCCAGTTCTGGGCCCCTCAGTTTAGGAAGACCACTGAGGTGCTGGAGAGTGTCCAAAGAAGGGTAACGAGGCTGGTGAAGGGACTGGAGCACAGGCCCTATGAGGAACAGCTGAGGTAGCTAGGGGTGTTTGCAATAAACAAATGGCTCTCAAAAAACAGATGAACCAAGAAGGAGGGAAAAAAAAAACCAAACCAACCGTAAAACCCCACAAATACCCCCTTCATGATGTAGTTGATTATAACTTTTTCTAGTCCAGAAAGTGCACTTTATTTTCAATTTCCAGTCTCATGTATACCTCTTTAGCCTTGTGCTCAAAATTTACAAAGCTTTAGCTTGTCAGCTAAGGGAATTCTCTGTCTTTCCTCTGAATATTAGTTACATAATAGCTTGAGCTAAGCAATCAAAGTGGTGATAGGTCAAAAGGAAGATTTGCCTGAGGTGATGCAGGAAGTTGATGGCAAAGCTTCAAGCTGAATACACATTTCTCTGCTATTCAGACAGCACAAAAACCAATAGAACCTCCTTCACTGTTTGGATTTTGCTGGCTTTTTTCCAAAGCAGCACTGCTTCTGAAGGCAAAGCTACAAAATGCAATGGCATTGAAAGAGCTAATAAGCCAAAGAAATATCCTCAAATGGCACGGCTTTCTAGCTCTCTATGTCACTTCCACGATATTACTAATAAATTATATATCTTACAATTGGTATTTTCTACATCCTGTAAATATGCACAGTTCTTGAGATATTAAGAGGAGTGTGATACGCCCAGTCTTCCCCTTGGATTTTACACAGCTCACCTTCAAAACTCTTAGGTCAAAGAATCCACAGCTCTTTGGTACTGACATTTCTAGTTATAAAAGAAAGCCGTTGTTCAACCCCCTCGCATCTGTTTTGTGGAACTAAATGACAACTACTGAAAATTTTAGTTGGTAAGTGGTGGTGACAGTAAATACAGCACTGAAATTTACAGGGATAAATTAAACATTTTTTGACATTGCAGAACAGTGTAACATTTACTTGTCAGCAGTGCAGGATACAGTAAATAGGCCAAGCAGGGAACTAAGAGGGTCAGTACTCTGAGGCCCACTCTCTGAAGTGACAGCAGTGATTAAGATGACAGCTCCTGCACTTGAAATTGCCATTCTTCAGGTTCTTTAGGGCTTATGATTTATCTGCAATCGACTAAGGAATGGGCCAGGCATTATAAGCATTACTCTTCTCCATGCCATGACAACATTCCCCAAAATTTCAAGATTTTTCTCCTATGAATTTATCTGGCATCAGCTTCTTGAGAAAATGCCTTCAGAACTGAACATGAAGCCTCGAGTACTAAAGATCTGAAAAACTGTAAAACAGGCAAAGTTATATATATGTATGTTGAATAATCTATCTGGATCTCCACTTCTCTTTAAGCAGTTTATCAGAAACTGTTTCTGTAAAGCAAACTGTTTACAAAAGTTGGGGTTTCGCACAAGTCTAAGGAAACATTGTGAGAGCACAAGTTCTCAGTCATGAAGCACATACCTTTTCAATTGAAAAATAAAAACTGAGCTTTGACTAGAACTAGCTAATGAGACAAAACTCCCTAATATGCTATTTCTAAAAGCAGCCTTGTCCAAAGACTAAATAAGATAAAAATAGGGACGAGCTAAACTTAGATTTTAGTGGGTGCTTTAATTACCTGATAACACTTCTGGTTTTTTTACAAGGCTGCAGGCTGCTCTCCACCCTATAAAACTGCTTTAACTGCTTTCCTCAGAGTAGGACTTGGCTATGATGGCACTCGTTAGTACTGTTAAGAAGGCCTGAAATGCAACCGAGCTAAAGGTGACTTGTGCTATTTACTAAAAAAAAAAAAAAAAAAGGTGGAGAACCAGCCCAAGTCGGTGTGGGTTTTTTTTTATTTTTATAGTTTTAACTTCAATCGAGCCGCAGTGGGTGCGTGTGGCCCCCGCTCCCTCTGTTGACGTGCTCAGGGCCGAGTTTCACGGCACCACGGGCACCCTGGGGCTCCATCTGGGAGCCGCCCTCGGGAGCAGCTGCGGCCCCCGGCAGGCTCTCCCAGGAGGCGCCCGGTCTCGCAGCATTCCCGGGGCCCAGGCCGGCCTGGCGATCTCGGGGCCGCCGGCACCCTCCTCGGCTGCCCCCGAGCCGCCCACGGGAAATCCCGCGGGGGGAGCGGGACCCCCGAGCCGAGCGCGCCGGCAGCGGGAGCGGATCGGAGGCGGCCCGGCCGGGTCACGCCCGCCCCCGGCCGCGCCACCGCCCCTTCCTGTCATGGCAGCGGCCGGGCTGCGAGAGCGCGGCGAGGCGGCGCGGGCCGGCACCCTCGGCGGCTGAGCGCCCCGCGGAGCGGGGACGGGCCCAGCGCGGAGCCGGCAGTAGGAGGTGACTGCGGGGCGCCGTGCGGGCAGGGCCTGCGCGGGGGCTCCCCCGGGCAGCGGCCGCCCCGCAGCCCGCCCGCGGCGCTGGGACGGGGCGGCACGGTGGCTCCAGGGTTGGCGGGGCCCGGCCGCGGTCCGGGCCCGAGCCCGGCACTGCCCCCGCCGGCGGGGAGGGCGGAGCAGTTCGGGTGTTCGGGTGTCCCGGACACCGCGGTGAATCGACGCGGGTTTTTGTCGAGTGCACCCCGGGAACGAACCATCCCCGGGGGAAGAACTATTGCGGAGGAGGGCGTCCGGGCTGGTCCCGACGTGCGCCTCGAGGGCACCTTCCCAAGTTGTAGGAACCACGGTGGAGGTTTGTCCTGCAGTGACGGTGTGCACGGTGGCACTGCCCGGGAGGTTAAGTTCACACCCTTCCCAGTGTGCCATAGTCTGGCCGTGCGCTTGGATCCCGAGGATGCCCGGTACTAGGGGGTGTGGGTGAGTGATGTTCAGGAGCTACACAGCCCTAAACACCTGGTGGAACAGGCCCACGTAGCACAGCAGGTAAGCAGGCTCTGGTAGCTGCAGACAGGAGAGCCTATTCTGACTTGACCTCGTGGTAAGACACCAAAAGATTAGATTTCACAGCATTACATAACAAGATAAGAAACCCACTGTGGCTGTCTCATGATAGTAAGTCATTTGCTTTTGTAATTGGGAAGATAAAAACTAAATTTCCTGAGCCCCACACAAACCCAGTGGGAAGGAAATCCTACCATGTTCCCTTTGTTTTCCTTGTAGATACTGCTGAAGTACCTGCTTTCCACCACTTTCCTCGTTTAACTTCACCTTGGGTTCAGCTGGTCATCAGCATGCCTTCTATCGAGAACACCTCTAAACTCTTCCTGGTCCTCTTCTCATTGCTGCTGGTGCTACCAGTGGTTGAAGCCCTGGATGCTGGAGATACCATTGCCTTCCTTCTAGGCCTCGCTGTCAGTGTCATCGGATTCTGTGCCTGCCTCGGCTTGTATGCAAGGAAAAGGAATGGGCAACAGTGATTTCAAGAAAATGTTCAGATGAAGTCAATTTCCTAACATGGCTTGGGTGTAAGACTGAGCTTTGGTTCTAGATAACTTTCAAAAAACATGTAGATATTTCTGCAAACCTCTCTTACTGTTCAGTACAGCAGAATCAAGACTGTACACAGTAAAAGGGATTTGTAGGATCTGCCCTTATGACAGAAAGATAATTTTATATTGCTTGTCATTAAATATTGCCTCAGAGAAGGGTAAGAACTTTTTGAATGGGGAAGAAAAACAATAGAGTAAACGTTTATAAATGTATCATGTGAGGGAGGCCATCAACAAGTTCCACAATTTTTGTTTCAAGGTTTATTCAGGAGGAAGCAGCTATTAATCTTCCAGTCAAGATGACAGAGTTTTGAAAGTCCTCCTAACTAGAGAGCTGGCAAGCAGACTGCTCTAACTTATGTGCTTGTGCTCACCTTCTCTGTAATGACAGTAAACACCTAACAACTCACTTCTGCTGTCATGGGAATGAGACTTACGAGAACTAAGAAAACATTTTCTTTTCTTTTAGAATATTTTTAGGTTTTTTTTTGTTTAGAATATGCCACTCCTGTGTCCTCTGTTCCTGTTACCAAGTAAATACACTTAAAAGTGGGACCAATATTTTTATTTAACATGTATTTCACAGTAAAGTACGTGTAAGGCTATGTAAATCAGGAATTATGTGTAGTATTTCTGCATTAGGAAGTTAATTAGAATTATAACAAGACCATTGTACACATTTCTTTTACAATATAGAAAAAACTTGTTTTGTTAAAATCCTGGGTTTAGTCAGTAGGTCCATTGCTCACATGTCTTCCTCATGACAAACTTACTTTGCTAGCTAAACATTTAGCCTTCTCTGACTAGTGCATATGAGTTCCACAGAAGATAGGACCAAAACCAAAGTAAAAAATCCTGATGGAAAATGGGAGGTGTAAATAGTTGTATTCTATTCACACTCAGTCGGGTTGTATGGTATACGGTTGAAAGACTTAGTAGCATATCTAGAACCTTCTTTAAGTACCAAAGGTGAAATGGCTCAGCCAAGAATGTCTATCACAAGTCTCTCCAGCTTGTTAGGGTGTTTTACCTGTCTGCTTGAAGCAAGGAGCACAATCTCTTAGCAGCAGAATAAGGAGAATAGGAAGGTGAGCTTTCCACAGTTCACAGAATTTCCTTCTGATCTTGTGCTGTGGACGCTGCCACTCTTGCTAGAAATCTTGGCTTTTATCTTTCAGAGCTGGGGAAAAAGGTTACATGTGATGCAGAGCTATGTATTTTGATACTATTCCTCCACTTCAAGTGTCTGTTCAGCAGAGCACCAACCTAGAAGAGTTGTTGGGCAGGTCTTACGTAAGAAAGTCCTGGTTATTTCAGTCTTGCAATTTATGTCTCTCATGGTGAATGGAGGGAGGAAGTTAAAATGAAAGCCCCTAAAATTGTATGGGATTGAAACTGTAGGACTCAATCCAGTAATCCATAAGAATGTAGGTTTCTGATTTCATGTTACAAGAATAATGGTCACAGAGTTACTCTGATGAGTTGCAAGTCTTTCCAGGTTCTTGAACATTTTTTGTAGCTTTCAAAACTCTGGGACATGGTGCACAATTACTATGTACAAATGAAATTTGCAGCCCTAAGAGGAGCTTCAGACAGTAGCATCACCTTTGAAAGCTGCCTAGCTTTCATGATGGTCCAGAAATAGTAGATGATCCTGTATGTGATTATTCAACTCTGTGGGTGCAAGCACATGTCAAAGTGTCATCTTTGATGTTCCAGCTTGGGTAAACCATTACACTTAAAAAACCCCAAACCTCAAACCACAAAATCACCACTCAATTCACTTCAATTTCCCAAAATTACATAATTTTGCCAATTTTTTTGCTATGTCATATATTGCTCTTTCAATAGAATAAATTTTATCACAAGCAGCTTTTCACAGACTCCTTTATCTACACTTTGGAAAAGATCCCTGGCAACTGGGCAAGAGTTTCACTTCAGGAAAACAAAATTTTAGCAGAGTAATTATCTTCAAACAATAGGGATATGAGGAACACTGTTCTTTGCCTGAAGCTGAATGTACTTTATTGAAAGGTGTTTGCACAGCATAATGGCTTTTGTTTCCTGGGTTCTGAAAGAAGCTTTATTGTTAAAGACTTCCATTTTTTGATGTCTAGAGTGTAAAATCACATACCCCTGTTTTTCTTCTGTCTTAATAAACTTTCACCTATGATTTATCATCAGCTTGATGAAGTAGTTCTTATGAAAAGAAAAATCACGATGACAAAAACTACTAAAACAGTTTAAATTCATTCTGTTATTATTTTCTTATCTACTTTTTCTTAAAGTTAGAAAACTTTACAAACTAATGTGGCATAAGTTATGTTTTCAGTTGAACTTTTGTACAGTGAGCATACTTCTGTTGATCCTACTCCTTGTTTATCCCATTACAATATCAGCTACTTTAAAGCACTTAAAGGGGAGTGGTCCCCTTTGACGCTGTCAGCTTGCAGTTGCAAAGAATCCTGTTTCTCTGGTACAAGGGAAGCTTGAAGGATTATTTATTTTTCCTTTTCGCTATGAATTTTTAACATATCTATTATGTAGTTACCTTTATACCAGAAAAGCCATTTATGTCAGTTTTCTACTGGAGACCCAAGAATATATGGGACCATTTTCTGCTTTTTTCTTTTAAAGAAATACTGTGTTCTAGTGCTTTAGTTATTTCAGTTATATATTTTTTTAGACTTTAAAGCAGCTTGTTTTATCCTAGCTTTTTGACAATAGGATTCTAGTTCTTCCAGGATTTCAGCTAGTGCACAAAGCAGTTCACTTTTTGCACTAAACTAATAACATTAGAAGCTGTTTTCACAGCAGAAAGTAGAAACCACCTCACAATGTTCACTGCCTAACAAATACAATCTACCCTTTAATTAGTGGAAGAAAGCTGCGGGTCAGGAAGGAACAGCTTTTGACTGCTATGGCTTCCATATGTTTTAACAGTAGCATAGCTAAAACCCAGCCATCTTAGAACATTTAACAGTCAGTGCACAGTCCCTTTGCAAATGGACAGAAGTCCTCAGCTTCTCAGGACACACCTTCAAGTGCTGCACACCAGCTAGGTCTTACCATTCTGCTGAGTACAGCAATACCTGGGGCTGGAATACACATGCGTTACAGAGTTCCTAATGCACTGGCTTCTCTGGGTGTATGAACACTGCTGTGAACGCTCTCTCCTACTCAGATAAATGCTGCTGCTGGTGGTGATGCTGCTTTATTGCTATTGTGAAACATGGAAATTCTATGACATCTTCTATCTGACCTTTATAAATTTACAGGTATTAATATTTGCATCCCAATTATATCCTTGGCACAAGTGGAAGGAGAATCATTGGCTTGTGATGGTGTCAAGGGAAGCAGGTGGTGTCTCCAGGATGCTCAATGAGTTTTCTGGAGCATGCTGTGCTTGTGGTTCTCAGCTAGCATGCCCTTCCATGGGAGCTTTCTCTGGATAGCCCAGAGACTCTTGTGCATTGACTAGACATGCAGTCTGAAGCCCTGATTCCTCTTTTAATAAAGCTACTTACATAAGTTTTGTGAGATAAATAAGTTTTGTGAAATAAAACATGGCCAAATGGATGAACTATAATAGGTCTGTTACCATGATAAATGCTCTATTATTATACTACAGAAGTAACCTTACCGTTCATTTTTACATCTGGTGAGAGGTTTTCCAGATCTAAACTGGTGTAGTGATGCGATTGTTAAGAGTGGTGGAAAAGAGGGCCTGGATCTGGTCGTCCTACTGGTTTACACTTGAACCAATTGTTGGTAAATTACCTGAATTCAACAAAAAGTGTGGGTTGTTCACCAGATGAGAAAAGTAAGACTACTAATTCAGAACCAAATGCAGCAAAACATATTGGGCAAAATTGGATGTGACTGAAGATGCACAGGACCCAAACCACTTAATTTCTGCTGAAATCAATCTTCAGAAATTTGAAGTGACAAGTTTTTAATACATTAGACACTGAATACACTGCTAAGTGTTCAGTTGTAAAGAATGTAACCAGTTTTTAAATGATGAAGATTTTAAGTTCACATGAATACAGAGTAACACCAAGTCTTGTATTATCAATATTTGGAAAGCAAGTTTCCCAGCAAGCAAGCTGGAGGTTACATATCTAGTATAACATAAAAGTACATCTTCTTTGAAATAAAATTAAAAGAACAATAAAATGATATGGACATTCAAAACATTTCCAGACATTGTACTGGTCTCCTTAGCTCAGTTTCTCTGTAATGAAATTTCAAAATGCGTGGAAAGCTCTGTCACATTAAGGTGAAGGCACACTAGACAGTCAGCAGAGCCTTTTGTTTCTGGATCATTCATCTGATCAGATCAAAACAGAGATTTTCGTGAGAAAACCAAAACAAAATGTCCCTTATTCTGCTTAACAAAGAGATGTGTATAATTATAGAATCATAGGATGTTAAGGGGTTGGAATGGACCTTAAAGATCATCTAGTCCCAACCCTGCCATGATCAGGGGCATCTCCCACTAGACCACATTGCTCAAGGCCTTATTCAACCTGGCTTTGGACACTGCCAGGGTTGGGGCAGCTACAACCTCCCTGGGCAACCTATGCCAGTATTTAACTGTCCCCACTGTGCAAAACCTCTTCCTAATATCTAACCTAAATTTCCTCTCTTTCAATTTGTTATTTCTTGTCCTATCACTACAGTTCCTGAGGAAGAGTCCCTCTCTAGCTTCCCTGTAGGCCCTCTTCAGATACTGGAAGGTTGCTATGAGGTCTCCATGTAGCCTGCTGCAGGCTGAACAGCTCCAACTTCATCGGCCTGTTTTTGCACAGGAGGTGAGCCAGTCCTCTTAGCAACTTTGTGGCCCTTCTCTGGACTTGCTCCAACAATGCCGTGTCCTTATGCTGGGCACACCAGAACCATACACAGCACTACAGGTGGGGTCTCACAACAGCAGAGTAGAGGGCAAGAATCACCCCCTCTGACCTGCTGGCCATGCTCCTTTTGATGCAGCCCAGGAGACATTTGGCTTTCTGGGCTGTGAGTGCACACTGCCAGCTCATGTTGAGTTTTTCATTAACCATCACCCCCAAGTCTTTCTCCTCAGGGCTGCTCTCAATCACCTCTCTGCCCAACCTGTAGGTGTGTCTGGGATTGCCACAACCCAGGTGTAGGATCTTGCACTTCGCTTTGTTGAACTTCATGAGGTTGTTCATTGAGACTACTTCTCCATCCTGTCGAGGTTCCTCTGGATGGCATCCCTTCCCTCTTGTGTGTCATCTTCACCAGCTTAGAGACATCAGCATATTTGCTGAGGGTGTACTACACAGTGTAAGTGAAGGCCTGAAAGCAGAGTGCCCTCCATCAGACCTAGGAGTTGCAAACATTAGAGACGGGGAAGAGAGAATTTTGTCCCTAAGCACACTATTGTAGAAAATTAGAGCTTGTTGCTGGATTGGGTTAAAGTTTGTGTTCTTCAGCCTTCCTATATTGTCTGTGTTCCTCCTCACTAATTGTTGCCTTGGAAATTTCAACTGGAACCAACAGTACCAGCAGTTTTCTCAGCTGCCATTCATTCAAGGCACTAAAATTTTGCATACATTTTCATACTGCTACTCTCCACTTGGCAAATATGAAAGCATGGAAGTTACCTTCTTTTCCTGAATGGAGTTAAAATACTGCAGAGCAACACAGTCCTGTAAAACTTAAAAGACAAAGGTCTGTCTTTTTCTTCTGTTTCTCTCTTCTTCTGTTTGTGCAGCATTTTGCACCCACTGCAATGATGCTAATAATAAATAGTAGAACTGCATGTCCCTCCTCTACCTTTTCACAGAAAAGCAACAGTCCTAAAACATGAGCACTTTCAATCTTGGGAGAATTGAAGTGAAGAAAATTGTCACTTTTATGAAAATATGTTCGCTTTCCATTTCGTGAGTTACCTGTGAAATGAGAATGTCTTTAATTCTAGAACTGTTCAAGGACATTTTCTGCCAACCTCTTTCTGAACTGATACGGCTATGGAAATCACATGTTCAATACCTGTACTTAGTTCTCAGAATTTAACCTAACATGATTCATAAGTCCCATGGTAGCAATTTTAAATTTTATTTGAATCTATTCAAATGACCTGGAGAATCTGCTGAAGCCATGTTGACTCATTTTTCCTCAAAAGCATATATTTATTTCAGTGTCTGCATGAATAGCAAGGAAAAATTAGGTCCCTTTTAAAATTTAATCTTTTCAGAAAGGCCGTTTGTGGTCAACTTCCAAAATTCTATCTGATAATTGCAGACAGTATATCATCTATAAAGTGGTCTATATCTACTAAACAAAAAAAAAGTCCTTTTTCATAAAAAGTAATATTGCAATGGGCCCTACCTAAGTAACTTTTCATCTCTTCATAAAGATTAAAGATGTTGATTGTATATCTGGAGCTGTTGCCAATAAGGAACCAGTATTCAGCAATAAATGTCACAGAGCCATGTTTTTCATTCTATTGTATTTGCAAAAAGAAAACATAAATCCCCAAAAATATTTTACATTAAAAATAGGCCAAAAGTGCTTTTCCAAGAACAAGTCAATGTTATCTAATAATAAATACAGCCTTGGGGAGAATCTCAATGAAGTCAGCTCAAAAAAATTTATTGTTCTAAACTGAAATCAAACTCTCCTGAAGGGATGACCAAACCGTATTTTTGAATTGCACATAACTTTGCCAGAACCATCTGCCATGCCAGGGTTATGGCAGAAGGCTGTCCTGATGCATGGAATGCTGGCTAACCTCAAATCCTACCTGGGAAGTGACAGACAGCTGTGTCTCCCTGGGTGCCAAATGCACACCCAGGCCACTGCTACCCTCTCACTCCATGGAGTCATCTCCTGCTGTGACAAAAGCCAGATAGGTGATGAGCTATTTGATCAGACATTCAGGAATAGCTGTGTGGCTTATGCATTTTTAACATTCTTACATGCCAAATTTCACATTTCAGAATTTAGTTTTGTTGGTACACTTTATTTTTAAATACTCTGTATACAATATTTTAAAATATGGTATCTGTGTGGGTTGGGATTAGTGCATCCTGGAGAAGTAGAAAAGCAGAGGACACTGTCAGCTGAAAGGATATTTCCAAACTGTCCTTCCACAAAAGGGGAAAAAGAAATCATCTTTAGGAAGAGACTGAGCCAAGAAATGTACAAGGTG